TTCCTGCCGCCCCCTCCTCTCTTACAAGGCGTCTCCAGAAGGCGGCAAAGGTGGGTGTGAGGACAGAGGCCCCCCTCCCTCTTCAGGGGAGGCATGAGCCAAGGACCCCTAAAGCCACAGAAGCGGCCCGGACACCTCCCTCACCGACCCCGTTCCTCCTCCAGGCCAGCCTGGGGATTCTTCTGAACCACCTTCATCAACTCAACGGCCCCTATCCGGCCTGCAGCACAAAACCAGCGTGAGCGGGGGGAGACCAAAGGAAGAAGGGGCGGCTACACGGTCTGGTTCCAAGAGTCTGCAGTGGCCCCAGCAGGGGCAGATTCTGTCTCCAACGTGCACCGTTCGGCAGGTTGACCAGTCCCGCTGCCTCCTTTCCAGCTCCGAAGGCCGTCAGCAGCAGCCCAGGGCATGGAGTGGGGTCTGGGGGGTGCGGAGGAAGGAGCCTGCCCCCTCTAGGGCAACTTGTGTCTTGGTCAGGACACAGCGGGCAGGCGGGCCCTAATGTACTGACTCAGAGGTTTCCAGCCATAACCATAAAGGGGTTTGGGGGGGAAGAGTTCCATTCAGCTCTCCTCCCATACCCCCTTCTCTCCCCCGCCCGCCGCACCCCCGGCTGCGCCAGCACGCCCCTCCTCACCATCTTTCCGGTAGAAGCAGATCTCCACCTTGCGCTCCTCGGAGCCCAGCAGGGCCTGCGCGATCTGTGCCACGGAGCTCTTCTGGGTGCGCGGCCCGTACAGGAAGTCGCAGGTGCACGGCTTCTGCATGACCTCCGCCCGCGTGTAGCCACAGAGGTCGCAGAAGCCATCGTTGCAGTAGATGATGGCGCAGTTCTCCACCCGCGCGTTGGCAATGATGAACTTGCGGCCTGGGCGGGGGAGAGGAGGAGAGAGGGACGCTGTGAGACGGGGCCCTCCGCCCAGGACCCCCGGCCATGCTGCTGTGGCACGCCCAGGACCCCCGGCCCGTGGGGAGAGCAGCCGCTTTGTGGGTGCAGAAGGACACAAATTCAATCCCCGGCAGCATGACTAGTTAAAAAGAAGAAGAAGGACCAGGGAGCTGGTGTGATGTGAAGGACCCCTGCCTGGAGCTGCTGCCCACCGGAGGAGGAGGAGGCGGCACTCACGGGCAGAATGGGAGGGGGGGAGAAAGATCCGGCTAAGTGACGATGACGTGGCACCCTCCTTGCTGGCCCAGTGAGCTCCGATGCACCACCACTCGGGCGGGCTAAGCCGCTCCTTCCCTGTGCCACGCCTGGACTGGGCACCCCTTCCCCCTGCAGCTCAAGTGGGCCGGGCATTCCCTTTTCCGCACCACGTGTGGCTTGGCTGGGCCAGGCACCTCCTTCTCTGTGTGCCACTCGGGTGGGCTGGGTGCTAGCTGCTGCCTCCCCTGCGCGCAGCTCACGTGGGCTGGGTGCCGCCTTCCTCTACGTGGCTTGAGCCGGCCGGGCGCCCCCTTCCCACCATCCTCCTTCTCTGTGTGCCACTCGGGTGGGCTGGGTGCTAGCTGCTGCCTCCCCTGCGCGCAGCTCACGTGGGCTGGGTGCCGCCTTCCTCTACGTGGCTTGAGCAGGCCGGGTGCCACCTTCCCACCATCCAGCTCCAGTGACCTGAGCAGTGCCCATCTCACCACTTGCCTGCTCGGCACAGATGGGGGGGGCAGCTCATTGGCCCACTGGGAAGAGTCCCAGTGGCCACAATCCACCCTGGGGCACAATGCCAGTCATGTCAGACCAAGGCACCCTTCTGTTTTCCAGAGGTCTCCTCCCTTGTGTCAGTGGCAAAGGCCAGGCGGGATTTCCCAGCAGCCACACAGAATGGCCCCACAGGGTGCTGGGAAACAGCTCTGCCTTTACACCGCCTGCCGGAGCCAAGCACTGTTAGCGGCACGTTGGAGGAAGAAGAGGAGGAGGAAATTGGATTTATACCCCATGGCCCTTCACTACCCGGAGGAGTCTCAGAGCGGCTGACAAACTCCTTTCCCTTCCCCTCCCCACAACAGACAGACACCCTGGGAGGCAGGTGGGACTGAGAGAGCCCTGACAGAAACGGCTCTTTTTTCAAGGACAGCTCTTATCAGAACTACGGCTTGCCCAAGGTCATCCAGCCAGGTGCGAGTGGAGGAGGAGTGGGGAATCAAGGCCGGTTCTCCCAGATTGGAGTCTGCCTGCACTCCTAACCATGACACCAAACTGGCTCTTTTTGGGGAGGAAGGCAGGGTATAAATGCATCAGATCAATAAGTCAATCCTCTGAGCTGGACTGGCAGCCTCCTCTAACCGGCTCCCCGGCCCGGCCCACCCCACGGTACGTACCGACAAACCCCAAAGTGCCCCAAACCCTTCCAGGCGGCTTGCTCACCACCACCACAGCTGCGTCTCCCACAGTGCCCCTCATTCACTCAGCAACTCCAGAACCCAGCTGACGTTTGCTGCCTGAGATCAAGGGACCCACCAGGAAAAGTGCCACTTGGCGGCAAACCACCCCCCCCCTGTGGATTTATGCTTCCCACTTCCCAGTTGGCCCTAAAAGAGCAGCCCAAAGGAGATGTTCCAGGGCAAGGGAGGCTCACGTTCCTCCCCCACCCCCTGCTCATCCTTCTCCCGGGAGGAGGGGGGGGTGCTCACCCACCGATGCTGCTTCCCCCTGGCGGAGGGAGGGGAGGGTGGCACACGAAGCGGGCGAAATGCCCAGCCCGAGAGAGAAAGGGATGCTGAAGAGGAGAGGGCCAGAGGAGACACCGACCGACCGGGAAGCAGAAGAGGCCCGGCTGGGAAATAGTTCAGATTCCAGCGTAATCTGTCTCGAGGTGCCAAAGCAACCAGGCTGCCTGCGTTCCTCCAGCCCCCGGAGTGAGGAAGGGGCCTGCGCTGCTTTATGGCTCCTCTGCATGTTCCCAGCCGGGCACGCTTCTTCTGGATCTTGGTCGCTCTCTTCAAACTGCGCTGAAGAGGGGGGGGGGTGAGAGACCTGGCTTCCTGGGTGTGGCCGATGAGCCCAGGGAGGCTTTTGCAGCCGTGCAGAGCTCCAGAGCGGGTTTCCAATCCCAGGGTTCACACACACACACACACACACACACTGCCCCCCCCAGCAGATTCAGAGTGGCAGGCCACGACTGGGTCCCACTGGGGGTCTGGGCGCTGAGGCCAGAGACACCAGGGCACACCAGGGGGAAAAAAAAACCCCCACAATTGCTGGGCAGTAGGCTGACACACACACCCCTTGATCGGAGAGAAGCGCCATGCTGGCCGCTAGTCCCTCTGTGAGGCTGGCCGACTGCTTCCAAGATGGGGGCTCAAGAGGCTGCTCCCCCACACACACCTGGCAAACACGCGTGTGCATGTCTGAAGGGCGGGGATCAAGGCAGACACCCAGGGGGCACGAGAGGCCAAGTCCAAATCAGATCTGCTCCTGAAGTCCAGGCTCTAGAGGGAGCGGAAAGCTGGGGCAATCCAGCAGGTACAGAGAAAGGGGCACCAATCTGGTTTTAAGACTCCCTACCCCCTCACCCACCCCCGCCCGGCGGGTTCATCTGCATGTGCTGCACTGGAGAGAATATCTGGGGGGGAGCCCCTTGGGGACCTGCCAGAGAGGAATGAGCGGAATCCCTCCAGCGCAATCCTCCTACCGAGATCATGTTGGTAACATCTCAAGGTCAAGAAAGACTGAGCAGGGGAGGAATGGGCCGGAAAGCCCAGGCTGGGAAGGCAGCGGCCTCAGCACCACCCAGGGCCCAGCCCCAGACCAGACCAGCACCTCTGACCCACACTGTCCTCCCCCACCGACCCAGAGCTGCTTCCCCCTCCCCCGCAGGGACAAGTGGCTCCAGGGAGGGGGGCCCCCGCCCGCCTCCCCCCCCCCCCCCCGTGAGCGTCTCTGGACGAGGGGGCCCCGCCTGTCCTTCATGCGGCACAGCCAACACCAGCCACCCCCCTCACCCGGGAGAAACAAGCGACGTCCTTTGCACAGCAGCTGGCCAAACCGAAGGCAGCGCGGCTGGACGGGGGGCCCCCCGCAGTCCTCCTGGGCCAGCCTTCGCCACGGGCCCACGGCACAGTCCCTGCTGCGGCGGGGGGGGGCGCTGTAACCCCCTCGCCACCCTGCGCGGGGGGGGGACAGCCAGAGCCCACCGGGGCCCCGAAGCACACGCAGGCAGGCCCGGATGGAGCCCTCGGGGGGCGGCGCTCTCGCCACGTGCAGGAGAACCACCCCCCCCACCAGGACCCCCACTCGGGGCAGG